AGCCTTGTTTTTATACTCATTAGGTAAGATTATTGAAGGCTATTTACACTTTCATGCAAAGGTAAGGTGTTTGTAAGCACCTGTCTTGTTTAGGGTTTCTATTTCTGTGATGAAACACCATGACCCCAAAGCAAACTGGGGAAGAAAGAGTCTATTTGGCTTCTTCACTCAAGGAAGACAAGACAGGAACTCACGCAGGGCAGGAACCTGAAGGCAGGAGCTGATGTAGAAGCCATGCTGCTTACTGGCTTGTCTCTTATGGCTTGCTCAGCCTGCTTGCTTATAGATCCCAGGACCACCAGGATTGGACCCTCCTAACTGATCACTAATTAAGAAAATGCCCTACAGTTGGATGTTTAAAATATTGGATCTTCTTTTTATTTATTCTTTGTCTTTCACACCATGTATCTCAATCCCATTCATTTCCTGTCCCCACATAGCTGCCCTCTGTCCTTGCAGCAACCCCCAGTGAAATTTAGGAGAAAAAGAAAAAAGAAAAGAAAGGGGGAAATCTCATCATGGAAACTGTAGTATGACAGAGTGAACCTTGCAGTAAACCTTTTTGTCTATGTGGCTTTGCTTGCAAGTGTTCATTGCAAAGAGTCATTGGTCTGGTTTGGAGTCTCTGGTTTCTGCTACACTACTGATGCTGGATCCTCACTGGGACACATCTTGGTTATCCTACTGTTGCCCTGTGTTGTAGAAATCCTGAAACTTTGGGTCTGTAGGACCAGTACCTTCACATGCTCCAGCATATCATAGAGGGGATGAATATTGGGTGGGCCAACCCATAACCCTGGTTCTGGACTTGGGTAGTTGCAGGGTTTGTCAGCCCACCAGCTCAGCTCTCCCATGTCCTCACCACCAAAATGAGCTCTCCTGCATTGCTTGGTGAATTCACCCTCTGCAGTGATGAGCAGAGGGCAAGGCCAGTTCTGCTTTCACATCCTCAGAGTCGGATCTCCTACCCTCACATCTTCAGGGTCAGCTCTAGTGTGTTGCTCAGGCATGGCATAGGGGCCACTCTTCCGAGTTCAGTAGATGAGAGGCAGGATTAGCTCTCCCACTCTTACGACCTCAGGCCCAGTTCTCCCACTTGCCTCAGGCATTGGTGAGAAGGAGAGAGGACATTTCTCTCCTGCCCATGATAGGTGAGTAATGGGGACAGCTCTTTCATGCTCATAATGTCGGGGCAGGATTGCCCACACCTCTGCCAATGGGGTTGGCTCTATTGTGCTGCCGCGGCAGGGTGCAGGGCCTGCTCTCCCAAGTGCCACAGCTGGTGATGGGCAGGGGCAGTTCACCTGCCCTTCTGACCTCAGGGTCAGCTCTCCCATCTGTAATGCAATGATAGGTGTGGAGGTGGAGGGCCTCTCCCCACCCATGCTGCCACATGACACATAGGGAGCATGCTCACAACTTCAGGGTACAGCTGGATCTTCTGGAGGCATTTCCTCAACTGAGGCTCCCTCCTCTCTGATGACTCTAGTTTATGTTAAGTTGACAACAAACTAACCAGTTCAGTACCCTACTCATATCTTAATGGGTTACAACATTTTCCAATTTTCCTGGTGACAGGCCATTTATCTGGCTTGGAGTGAGCAATGGGCGCTGTTTCCTCTAATTGTTTGATTATTTCTTCCTCTCTTATGTAACTTTCTCAAGGCATATGCTTTTAAGCGCTGTCCCTAACAACAAGAGTTATCTTCCAAAGTTCTCCAGGTTTCCTCCTCAGTGTACCTTTTTCTTTTGGTATTCTGTCCTAAAAATTCTAGCAACCTGGTAGAAGTCAAAATTGCAAGACTCTCAACAGTGTTACACTTAAAAACCCTAGCCTTCTTTCCATCAAAGCCACAACAGACAAAACAGCCCCAAGGCAGAGACTTGCCAGTTTCTGCACCCTTCTCTGCTTCAGTCTCCGCTCCTCACCTGGGTCACCCTTTGTGTTCAAAGAAGCGTTGGAATCACGACATTTCAAGTGTTTCCCTTAGCATTGCCAAGGGCTCTGTACTTATTATGTGCTTTGACTCCTGTAAACCAAAGCTGCTAGAAGCGTTATCTTCAGAGGTGCAGAATCTGAGACTTAACGATGTTTAATTAGTTTTCTATCCTCAAGTACAACCTATTGCTTTCATGTTAACACCTAAACACATTTTCATAGTGACAGTCAGTGCAACTTGATCAGTTGGTCCTCTGCAAATAATGGATTTTATAAAACGCAGCTATATTTAAACATTGCAATACCAGTCAGATGATATTCTTGTTTCCCATTTTTGTTTCTGAGCTGTGTGTGTGTGTGGGGGGGGGGGTGCTGCTAAAGATTGAACCCAAGGTCTTGAAAGTGGCAGACACATGCTTTGACACTCGACCTACATTTCTAGCCTGCAGATGATATTTTTTAGTTATTTGCTATGTATGAATAGTGTGTGTGTGTGTGTGTGTGTGTGTGTGTGTGTACATGCATGTGTATGCACTCCATGGAATACATGTGGAGATAAAAGGACAACTTTGTAGAGTTGCTTTTCTTCTTCCATCTTTATAGCATTCTGGGGATTGAACTCAGATAACCACAACAGGCCATCACTTACTGGACCTTGAGCCCTCAGACTGTCTTCCTAAAACTGTAACTAACACTCACTCAAATTGAGTACTGGAAAAGAGAGAACACTGGAAACCCTAGAACAGCTCGATGGTGTTCCCTGGTCTAATGCACAGGGCTATTCTTTATATGTAGAGAGTTTTGGGTAATTGGGTCTAAGCATGTAAGAAAAATTATTACTTTTTCCTCATGGTTTAATAAAAGGTAGGATATACTTCTAGTAAGATAGTGTCAGCATATTTAAACTATAAGTTCTTTACAACTTGTATTCGGAAAGTCACTGAATTCTGTCTTTTTCTGGATTCATTGGAGTTTTTCTTAGGACGACACTTAACGCTCTGGGGAAAAAAAATCTAGACGAAGACTTTCAGAAGTGTGCCTGTCCTGATTTAGCTCCAAGCAAAAGAAAACTAACTGGCCAACACTGGTCAATTTGTTAAGGACTATTGATGGCTGCTTATTCAGCTCCACTCTGAGCTCCTCTGGATACAGGCTCCATCTTACTTGCTTTCATATCTAAGTATTCAGCACAAGCCTCAGCCCAGAAGCCTTGGCTCACAGTAGGCATTTTCTTAACTAGTTACTGGATGCTCACAGTAGGCATTTTCTTAACTAGTTACTGTATGCTCATGGTAGACACTTTCTTAACTAGTTATTGGATGCTCACAGTAGGCGCTTCCTTAACTTGTTACTGGATGCTCACAGTAGGCGCTTCCTTAACTAGTTACTGGGTGTTCACAGTAGGTGCTTCCTTAACTAGTTACTGGATGCTCGCGGTATGCACTTCTTAACTAGTTACTGGATGCTCACGGTAGGCGCTTCCTTAACTAGTTACTGGATGCTCACGGTAGGCACTTCTTAACTAGCTATTGGATACTCATGGTAGGCACTTCTTAACTAGTTACTGGATGCTCACAGTGGGCACTTCTTAACTAGTTATTGGATGCTCACAGTAGGCTCTTCCTTAACTAGTTACTGGATGCTCACAATGGACACTTCTTAACTAGTTACTGGGTGCTCACAGTGGGCACTTCTTAACTAGTTACTGGATGCTCACGATAGGCACTTCTTAACTAGTTACTGGGTGCTCACAATGGACACTTCTTAACTAGTTATTGGGTGCTCACAGTGGGCACTTCTTAACTAGTTACTGGGTGCTCACAATGGACACTTCTTAACTGGATGCTAACTGTTTGCTCCTCTTTAGTGAATAAGACAGGTTTGGGGACATTTGACTTTTTATTTTCTTAGACGGCTTAGCTTCAGCACCCAAAACAGTTTTCAGGTGAACATCTCTACTTGGGGATGGGACTGTGGAATAAGCTGTTTCCACATACCCTTACTTGGCTCGACCTTGGCATTTCCCACCCGTGCTCAGAGGACCTGAGGGTGAAGGAGAGAGTACTTCACAACAGGTGCGCTGGAAAGAGTTTAACACCCACTGTTCACTTTTGCCTGTTTTGTCTATACCGAGGCAAGGGAAGGTCCACGGTGGAAAAGAGTGGCTAGCACAAAAGGACATGAGAAAATGATGCGCTCCAATCATGTGGCTAAATATGTCAGCCATCCATGAAGATCCATGGGAGGGTCGAGAGCAAATAAAAGGAAGCGTAGCCAATGGGATGTTGGTGTGAACGGAAGTAAAGATCTGAACAACAGTGACGTCACTGTGTGAAAATTGCTTAACCAATTTAAAAACGCCATTCACAAGAACGTAACTTGAGAATTATTTTTATTAAGAAATATGTCAGTTACAAAGCAGCATGTATGTTTTTAAAAGTGTTCATGAAATAAATAGAAATATACTATATACAACTTTAAATATAAATCTCGTAGCCGGACAAAGGCACTTTAGGATCTGATCTGCTCCCGTAGCCCCTCTTTCCTGACGGACATTTTCCACAGCAGGATTTACAGTGCAGCCACGGCAGTGACTGTGAAGTTCCGGAAGCTTCTTTCAGACTGCTTCACTGTAGCAGGAACTGCTTGCATGACTTCCTTTGCTCTTATTTTCTTCTTAGTAACATTTTAGTATAAGAATGTTAGGAGAATCATTACAGATAGAAACGGTCTTGCTTTTAAACAGGGTTTAGATGCTGTCATTGGTTCCAACTTGTTTCCCACCTTCAATTCCCTTCCCTACTACACTTTAGGCTTGCCCTAGAGTAGGTATCTGCAGGCACAGAGGAGAGAACCTGCTCAGGAGGTGGTCATTAACAGTACAGGCATTTCCATTGACACTGGAGTGGCTGCGCTCATCTCCCATCAAAGCATCTACACTAAACAATAGCAATTCGCCATAAATAAGTTAAGAATCCCTGCTGCAATTGAAGATTAAACAATAGTGTTCTTTTAAATGTCACACCCTTAGTACTATACCTACTAAAACCACAATATATGTCCATACTCTAAAATGAAAGGTGAGTTTAATCTTTTGGAATTTGAACGAGAGAAAACCACAACCACTGTATTTGTGAGGTTTGATTTAGGCAGATGCTTTTGACGTCTTGCTTCATGTCCAGGGTATTGTTTCTCTGTGGAGTAGGAGAAAACACTCATCGTTAGTTTTGCTACCTTTCACAACTGGTGAGTGAGAGTTTGTTTCTATTTATATCCCTTTCCCAAGAAATCCCCCAAATACTTATTCACTGTATGATTGCATGTGCTTCTCCAAAGAAATGCCCTGCCTCTCTCAGCACCTCCTCCATAAAGCCTCTGCTAATGGCTCATAGACTTCTATCTGAAACTCTTCTGCACTTCAGAGTAGGTGTCATTTCACTTGGCTCGCACTGCTGTTGCATCATGGGTATTCCCCCAGACACTGAATACAGACTTTTATACATAAGAAACATTAGCTATATATTGCATAATTAAATGAAAGGGTAAAATTGCAATTTCATGATCTCTTTGACAAGATAAGCTCCCAGAGGGCACGAGCTGTCTTTTTGTGTCTTGGTAGGTGTAATTCAACAAACTCAGTCTGTTCTTCGAAACCCAAGTTTTCTTGCCCACACATCCACCCCACTAGATACCTAAAGGCCAACTTTGAAGAGGATACTTGTGATGTCTTCAAATGAATTTGCCCTGGAGTTGTGACAGACTGAGCCTCCTAAGGATAGAATTTCCTGGGTTATTAAACAGTACTCTTATAGTCTTCTCTGGCTTCACCCTTAGGCTGGGAAGATGCTCCCATGGACTCCTCCAGGTTCTCCCCTTTCCACACAAAGTCTACAGATTTAATCAGATCTGTAACCTGGGTTCTGGATCTACTGATAAATTGTATTTTGTCTCTCCACAGATTGGTTAGGGTCTCTGTGAAAAGAAGGCAGAGAGCCAAGCAGGCTTCCCATATGGCTGCCTAGTTCTCTTTTTCTCATGCAAGCTCAACCTAGGTGGCTTCCGCTTCCAGCCTGATTGAGTTCTATGGGTTCAGTCTTGAAGCCCTAAAACACAGCAGTCTTCTTTCCAATTACATTCGAGTTACAGGCAGCCAAAGTCTATCAAGTTAACAAGTTTACATGTGTATCTACACACAAATATTTGGCTGCACACACACTACATATGTCTATTTTTCTTAAGCATGTCATCATGAAGGCAAACACTCTACTTGCCAAGTGAAGGAAACATTGAGAAACTACTCCTGTGTGCCAGGCACTGTTCGAAGCGCTTTCACATGTGCTGACTCATTTTATTCCCATAATAGCCCTACCTAAGATGCAATAATACCATCCTTACCCTAGGCTAAGTACTTTATCCACAGCTCTGCAGCTCAGTCAGGCAGGCTGCCCTTGGAGTTCCTGCTCTAAATTCTCTGCTCATTCCTATCTGACTGCACACACAAATATTATATGAAAGGAGATTGCAATTCCACCCACAAGCCAGTGAAGTGGATGAAGTGGAGTAGGGTCGAGATTGATGTAAATGTTAAGGAAAAACACATTACTACAAAGTGGCTGTCTAGGCAGAGAATGAACAACCACCCTGTAAGGGGCACTCTACCCAGGAATTTTGGATGCACGGATTGTGTACCCCATTGGGTGTTTGAACTGTCATATTTAAGGAGCCAGGAGGACAATCTGCTAACATAGGAGAGAGGATCACTGATAACACTTTAAAACATCGACTTAGATTTGGAACCAAAATTCAAGCCAAAGACCAACAACAATATAGTAGAGGCGGACTATGTTTGGGTTTCTCTGTTAAATTAAGCTCGACAGACTACTCGGCTCATTTGCTCCCGAAAAGATAAAATCAGAATTAAAAAAAAAAATCACTGCACTTGAAGCCCCAGGTTTTAAGTCAAGGTTCCTTTCTCTCCATCCATTGCAAAGTTAGCATCTGATGCTTTGAGCTTACCTGGGTTTCACTGTATCCTTGGCAATGTTTAGTGAGGGTCCCTTTCGTTCTCAACGCGAATGTTTTCTCGGGGAGTGACGGGCAGCCAGGGATAGGATTGAGAGTATGGTACTCGATTTTCGTGAGACAATCTGTCTGCTCACAAGCGGCAGAGTTCAGAGAACAAAGAAAATGACAGAAATTAAAAACTGAATGAAAAGGGGCAGAAAGGGAGAGGAACGGAAGACACGACGGGGGGTGTCTGGAATCAGAATCCAGAGTCTGGGTTGAGAGAGGAAAATGGAATCAACCCACAGGAGGGAGGAGCTTGGCAAGAGTAGCCGAGAGCGCCTACTGGAAGGGTTTCCTCCCCAGTTGGCTCCGCCCAGCCTCCGAGGAGGTTGTCAAGAGGCAGCGCTGACAGTAGATGCCCCGGGACCCGAGGAGGTATTTCGACTTCGTTCCTCCGGGTTTCCCATTGGCCTTTCTTCCCGGGACAGAAACGGGTTCCTACTGCAATCTTACTCCGCCAAAGGGGCTTTCTCCTTCTAAACCGAGAAGTGGCGTCCTAGACTGTCTGGAGCCTCTCTCTGGCGGCCCAGATGTCTCCTATCGGCTCAGCAGCCAGCATCTCCTGGAGCTCAGCAACGGCCTGGGGGCTCTTCCCCAATACCCTTCCCGGACGCCTGCCACTCCAGGGAAAGCCAGCACCGCCGACCACTCTACTCACCAAGTTTTCACAGAACTCGATTTGGTCGAACGGGCTCTGGAAGAAAGAAACATAGGATAAAGATCTGAGTCGGAGGGAAAAACGTTCCCCCGTCCTTTGCTTCCAGGTTTCCAGGGTTCTCTGAAAGTAGTTGCAACCCAGTGACTTGACCCTATATGATGGACAAGGTGGTGAAACATTTAGTTTTCTGCTTTTGCTAGCTCTCAGAGGGAGCCCTAGCCCACCCGAGCAGGTACACCTGCACCTAGCCCTTACAAGCCACTTCCAACAAAGGACCATTTTTTTAAATGTCTACAACGGCTGGCTTTCTAGCCATTCATACTTGCCACTCACTCACACACTATATTATAGAGAAATAGTTACTACTACAGATTTTAAAAATTAAAGTGTGCCACGTCTCATTACAGTATCCTTAAACATCTAGAACACTAGAAAGCTATAAAACAGCTCCACGTCTTAGCTACCCCCACTCCTGAGCTTTTATCTCAAGATTTCGCCTTTATAGCGAGGAGTAGACCACTATCCATAACCATTACCAGCCTCTGCTCATTCCATAAAAGCAATGCGTATACTCATTTCATATGCCAAGGTATTTGAAATCCTACTTCTAAGAAATTTTGGAATAGTTTTTCTAAATTATTTTCCTTTCCTTGAAAGTTGAGTTGTGGCTCGTAAGTATATTTACTTTTTTTTCCTTCATGAGAATATATATATATATACTTCAAAAAAAAAGTCTCTTAACTTACCCCATTCAAATATTTACGCAGGTCAGGGTAAATTGCTTCAGAATATATATTTGAAATCTCCTTGAAGTTACAATTAGAAAAGTTGTAAGTGAACACGAGTCCTACAACTTGCAAGATGAAGAGGTCCCTGAGAAGAACTGAAAAGACACATAGTAAGGAAATGTTCACCAACACCCAGTTCCAACTCCATTTCACAGGGAGCTCTCCCCTCCAAGCATGGAGAGCCTCTAGACCTGCAAGGACTGTGTCAGGCATCAGCCCTCCCCTCTCCTCCCCAGTCCATACAAGGTCCATATTCACCCATGCTGCTGCTGAAGTTGGAGTCTCCTTGATGCTCCAGTGCTTCCTGACTCCATATATATAACACCTAAACGCCTACGGGCTCTTTTCTTCTAGGCCAATGATTTTCTTTGATGTCATTCTTTCTTTATAGAATTCTAAATTGATGATGTAAAAGAAAAGAAATAGGGCTAGCCAAATCTATGGAAGTTTAACATTAGCAAAATCATCAGGAATTTCCCTCACACCTCATTCTCTCTCTCTCTCTCTCTCTCTCTCTCTCTCTCTCTCCTTTTCCCTAAACACTTGTTACATGATGCTTGGATATGTTTTTAGAGATGGACACCCTCTCATTTTGACATCTTTCTCCCACTGGGCAATTTATATGACTGATCCTTTCTGCTTGGGGAAAAACACCTGCCATCCACAGTCACTCTAAGGGATTGTGACTGATGCTTTGCCATCCTGGACACCCCAAACATCTCCTGAGTTGGTTCTTTCCCCCTTCATGGCTGCTGAGGAACTCTGTGTTCGTACATGATACATTTTAGAGGAGTGTGGTCTCAGGCTAAGGTAACTTTTACTGAAGGCATTGAACTGGCATTGGGGGGGTGGGGATTGTAGCCAAAACAGTGGGAACAGGAACAATGAAAAACTGAAATGTATGACAAAAGGTCCAACGAGTATCAACTTCAAAAACTTCAGGGCAAACACCTACGTTTGATAAAGCAAAGTGGTGGTGGTGAGGGGAAGCACTTCGTGTACTGGGGACTCCTTTATCCAACTTAAAAGTGTAATGATTTTCTAAAAGCACAAAGTCAAGCGTCCAACTCCATTATCTAGACGTTTGTAGAGTGGAGATGCCGCACTAGTGGGGTCTCATAAGGGTGCACAGAGAGGTCTGGTCTCAGCTGTAAGCTGCTGGGGACCTGTCCAGCATGTTAGCCTCCTGGAGTAGGTACAGCTTCTGACCCGCTGATCTGAGGCAGCTCAGACTCCCTTCATCCCCCTCCCTCAACCAGTCTGGGAAACTTGGGGTGGCCTCGGGCTTGCGTCCCAGCACCAATGGCAGGGATGGAGAAAGGGTCTAGACGGCGGTTTCAGATTTGTTCTTCAAACCCTTGTAGATCCAGGAAAGGGAGTGCAAGACCGGAGCAGCCAAGTGAGTCAGGGAGAGCGCCTGAGAGGATGTCTGGAAGCCTTCTGATTGGAGCAGCGCCAGTACCGGGAGCAGGGAGTGAATACCCAAATCGCCCCAGCTGCTGAGATGAACCCCTTCTCTGCTGGAGTTCATCCGGCTGCCCCAGGCCCTCCTAGCACTCAGTCCCCCCCTTCTTGCGTGTCAGAGCCTGCATCAATCTAGTCCTTGGGAAGTTCCTAGGAGTCATCGCTCAGAGAGATGAGGTTGGGTGCTCCACGTGAGTCCCTTCAAATGTCACAGACCACGCTGAGAGCCAGGGAAGGAGCGCAGGGATTGGTAAATGATGCGGGGAAAAGCAGAGATTGTAGCCAGAGGTGAACTTTTCCCAGAAGGTCTTCAACAGCTGGACCCAGTCCTCTGGCATTTAGGGTTAGGACTAGGGATAAAAGATTGCAGTGGTAGCAAGAGGGTGTGAGAAAGTATCTACTTCAAGTACCGACTTTCAAGAAGGACTTTTCTGAACCACTGCAAGCTTTAGACTTGTTATGATAACATGCCTGGAACGTGGCATCATATGCTCTTCCCCCTTCCCATCGCTACTTCTCTCAGTGATGTGGGAAGATGCCAAAGCCTGATTCATCTGGTGTGACATCAGACGTGATTCTGATCAGTAGCTAGATATTGCACAGGCAGAAGATCCTGATGTGGTCACTGAGTTGGGATAGTTCCAAGGGACAAAGAAAAGGAAATGGTGGCAGGTTTTGCCATTTGTTTTGCCCTGGAGGGAACCAGCTTCTTTACTGGTAGGTAGTGTGCTCTTTCAGGTCACTTCAGTTATATTGCTTTTCTTCTCAAAGCTTTTAGGCAGATTCATTTGCTTCGGGGCCCAGGAGCAATTGCTGATGGGGGCAAGAACGGCAAACAGTAACCTGTTTTTCCCGATGAGGTTTGACTTGCATTCCCTTGCGGGTGTACCCAGCCTACCTGCCATCTTTTGTTTCTAGTTTAAAACACATGTCTACACTCTATGTACATGTAGGTAGATCTGAGGAAGGTATAGCGCCTCCTTCAGGGATTTTAGAAGGCATCTCCTTGCTTAGTACATCGCCTATATATGTGTCCCTGTGGTCTCGAGTTTCCTTACTGGTAATCATGTGACATTTTAGGCCGTTTCAATTATATTGACTTTCTCCTCTCAAATCTTTTTGGTAGGCTTACAGTTACTTTGAGATTTTCATCCATCTCTCCTGTGTTGGCTCCAAGCTCTTTCTAGCTGCCTCCATTTTCCCACACATCCCTCAAATAGTATTCTAAGATCATAGACTCTGAACATTTCCTGACCGTGCCTCTTCCAAACCTTTGTGATGGGATTCTGATCACGGAGATGCAGCATCAGGTTTCTTGAGGAAAACAACTTTCAGCTGTGCTAGCGCAGACCGAGCTTCAGAAGAACTGAGTCCTGAACCTAGTGAAACAGAACCCTTTTAGGATTTTTGCACCTTTGTCTCCCATACATGGTATCTTATCATTTCATCCGTCATATTAAACCCATAGGGTGGGATTCTAACGTGAAGGGAGGAGAAGGAAGAGATTTTAGGAGAGTTGTGGTGGAGGGTCATGTATACTCCGGGGCGAGGGGAGCAAGACAGATGTCACATACACCCAAGGACACAGATCAATCTGTGCAGCTGTTCTTTGTTCCCCCTTAATTTGCAGGACTCCTACCATAATCTCACAGGTTTGAGTTGTACAATGCTCACCCAGTTTTACATTTCTCCTACCTATGTATCACCCCAGTACCTTTGAAGCTGTATTTATTTGAGCTTCTATTTTATAGTGATTAATTACATCATATTTTGTTTGCTTTCCAACTCTCTCTCTCTCTCTCTCTCTCTCTCTCTCTCTTTTTCCTCTGAGATCCTTAAATCAGGGCATGGTTTGTAATATTGATTTATTCAGTGTTCATTTACACTGTTGGGAAAACTCTGAATTACTATAACAATGCCAAAGCTAAACAAACAAGAAAGCAAGTAAAATAAAACAGGAACAAAATACAAAACAAAACAAAAAAAACTATGGTAAAAATGGGATTAAGGGATGAGAACATGAGAGCAGGTACAGGGAGGGCATAGAACAATCACTATTAAGGATTTGAAAAAAAGACAATTGAAATAAAAGGAATAATTGAGATTTCAAACCACTGAGGCACAGGGCCGACTGTAGCAGTTTCTACAACTTACTCATGCATTGGGGGAAGCTGAGTTTTCTTAGACCTGTAGCTATCGCC